CTCAAAAAGTTAAACGCGTACCAATACCCTGCGGTCTCCACTTTTTACAAGAAGGTATTTTAAGTTTTTACTATATGTACATAGTGAAAAATCAATGACCCCCAGGGCGGGGCCAATTTTGACCCCAGGGCTATAATTTGTACAATCTTGTTAGAGGTCTACCAGACAATGCCTTATGCAAAATAATCTAAGCTCTAGGCCTTTTGGGGTCTTTACAAGAAGATCTTTTAAATTTATTCTTATAATTCATTTTGGTTGCCACTGGCAACCAATTTCTGCATGGAATGAAATTCTTTGAAAACATAAACTTTGGAAGCCTTTACCCAAGGAACAATCCTGTACAAGTTTGGTTGAAATTGGACCAGTGGTTTTTCACAAGAAGATTTTTTAAGTTCACTATATAATCTATATAACACACACACAAACACACACACACACACATAGGTGAATCGCTATATGCCACCGTATGGCAGATGCTGCGGTGGCATAAAAACGGCAAAAACCAACATGTTGAATTATTCTTTTTAATTTACTTTGCCGGTCAAGGTCAAATTTTTGAAACTTGCTTAGTCATAACTTTTTGTTTTTTCTGCACAGATTTGATTTATACTTGGACAAAAGAACAAATGTGGCAAAACCAACATGTTGAATTATTCACTTATGACCTTGACTTTTAAATGAACTTGATGAACATGAAGTCAAATTATAAGATTTAGCAAAAACTGCCATAACTTTTTTTATTGATGGATACAATTTATATTGAAACAAATGAAATATTATGAAAGAATTGACAATTTAATACAAAACAAGAACTGTTGGAGGACAATAATGCTTGACTATTCGAAAAGTTGTTCACAAGGGTGTTTCATTGAGAATAATAATGCTTACCTATATGAATACATAAAATTGTCCGAAAAGGTACAAAGGCTTGCTATTACGATGTTTTATCAAGTTAATCTCTGCTTTATTATTATTATGATTGCATAAAATTGTGCCAAAAAAGGCACAAACCCTTCAGTAGTTATGGAGATATCAGCTTACAATCAAAAACTTTACCTAGAATTTCTAAGTCGAAAAAGAGGCATCATTATGGAAAAAAACAAACCAGAGTTATGGGACTTGTGCCAATCATGTTAGATAATCAAGAACAGAGCAACAAATGTGTGAACTTTCAATCGAATCCCTTCAGTAGTTATGGAGATACCAGCTTACACGCAAAAACTTAACCAAGAATTTTTAAGTCGAAAAAGGGGCATAATTATGCAAAAAAGCAAATTAGAGTTATTGGACTTGTGCCAATCATCTCAGATAATCACAGAAAACAAGTGTGTGAAGTTTCAATCCATTTCCTTCAGTAGTTATGGAGATACCAGCTTACACGCAAAAACTAGACCATATGGAGGCGACGCCGACAAATGGGTGACTGCATTAGCTCGATTATTCTGCGAATAGTCGAAGCATTAAAAATGACCATGACTAAAATAACATGGACTGTTTAGTCATTCATGTCTTCCATAAATGGCAAAATTGTTAGGCCATGGCTTTCCAAATGTTGCAGACATATAATAATTACCTTTATGTTAACATACATAGAGCAAAAATTTCCCTTTAAGTCAAAGCAAATGAAACAAAACATGTTTGTACATTATATTTGTTTAATTATTAACAAAATACACAGTACATGAATTTATCAAATATACAAATAAATATTTGCATACATTATATAGAATATACAAGTACATATATACATGTATATGTTCATTATGGCCTTTTTAACATTTTCATATATATCATAGTACATACTCATTGCACGATCACATGGTGAAAACAATATTAAAAATTTATCGGTTACCTTTTGCAAGTTGTGAAAATAAAAGGCAACAACATAATGGTTATGCTTCATTGCAAAACAAAACAACATCTAATGATACATCCCTATCTTTTTCCCTCACCACACTATACAATGAGGTCTACAAAATGCTGAACCTATTTCCCCCAATGCTTCAGTATAACACTATTAAAAATTATACTCTGAATAGAAGGAAAAACAACATCAAAGCACAAAAGCAGCTCTGGTTACCAAACATGAAGTATTACATACACTTGTATATGAAGTTTATACAGTGTAAAGGTTGGTCACATTTCAGGTTTTTTGAATACTTTCAAAAAAAACAACAAATAGTATTCAATTCAGAAATATTTTACAACAAACTGCTCAAAAGGGTTAAAGCTAAACTTATGGAGCCAAAACCTGATAGTATTGAGACAATATGGTAAAATCATGAGCCAAAGCAACTTATCCCCAACAAGCAAAAGCTAATCATTCTCACAGAGTTTGTATTTGATTGATTCACAAGATAATTACTGCCATAGAATGAATATTTACATTAGCAATTTTCAACTAGAACTTGCCACTATCATTGGCGTGAATACCCCCGCATACCACTTTGTCAGAATCAACAGTGGGCCATTTAGAACTCAAGGGACAACCTCCCTGCCAAATCTGAGGTTACTAAGCCAGTGCATTGCTAAGTTATGTATTCTACATGCTTTCAAATGTGAAAATGTCAAAATCAATACACTCTGGACAGGCATTCTGAAGCAATTGAGGGGGAAAAGCTTTTATTTATGACAAGGTCCCTGTGACCTTGACCTTTGACAAACTGACCTCAAAATCAATACGGATCATTTTACTAATCATGACTAACCTCCATGCCAAATATGAAGACTGATGGGTCATAGGAACCTTAAGTTATTGGGCGGACAAGCTTTTTTGAAGTCAAGGCCCCTGTCACCTTGACCTTTGACCTTGTGACCTCAAAAATCAATAGGGGTCATCTACTAATCATGACTAACCTCCATGCCAAATATGAAGACTGTGGGTCAAAGGAATCTTAAGTTATTGGGCGGACAAGCTTTTTGATGTCAAGGCCCCTGTGACCTTGACCTTTAACCTGGTGACCTCAAAATCGATAGGGGTCGTCAACTTATCATGACTAACCTCCATGCCAAAAATGAAGACTGTGGGTCATAGGAATCTTAAGTTATTGGGCGGACAAGCTTTTTGAAGTCAAGGCCCCTGTGACCTTGACCTTTGACCTGAAAATCGATAGGGGTCATCTACTAATCACGACTAACCTCCATGCCAAATATGAAGACTGTGGGTGATAGGAATCTTAAGTTATTGGGCGGACAAGCTTTTTAAAGTCAAGGCCCCTGTGACCTTGACCTTTGAACCGGTGACCTCAAAATCGATAGGGGTCATCTACTAATCACGACTAACCTCCATGCCAAATATGAAGACTGTGGGTGATAGGAATCTTAAGTTATTGGGCGGACAAGCTTTTTGAGGTCAAGGCCCCTGTGACCTTGACCTTTAACCTGGTGACCTCAAAATCGATAGGGGTCATCTACTTATCATGACTAACCTCCATGCCAAATATGAAGACTGTGGGTCATAGGAATCTTAAGTTATTGGGCGGAAAAGCTTTTTGATGTCAAGGCCCCTGTGACCTTGACCTTTAACCTGGTGACCTCAAAATCGATAGGGGTCGTCTACTTATCATGACTAACCTCCATGCCAAAAATGAAGACTGTGGGTCATAGGAATCTTAAGTTATTGGGCGGACAAGCTTTTTGAAGTCAAGGCCCCTGTGACCTTGACCTTTGACCTGGTGACCTCAAAATCGATAGGGGTCATCTACTAATCATGACTAACCTCCATGCCAAAATATGAAAGACTGTGGGTCAAAGGAATCTTAAGTTATTGGGCGGATAAGCTTTTTGAAGTCAAGGCCCCTGTGACCTCGACCTTTGACCTGGTGACCTCAAAATCAATAGGGGTCATCTACTAATCACGACTAACCTTCATGCCAAATATGAAGACTGTGGGTCAAAGGAATCTTAAGTTATTGGGCGGACAAGCTTTTTTGAAGTCAAGGGCCCCTGTGACCCTCGACCTTTGACCTGGTTGACCTCAAAATCAATAGGGGTCATCTACTAATCACGACTAAACTCCATGCCAAATATGAAGACTGTGGGTCAAAGGAATCTTAAGTTATTGGGCGGACAAGCTTTTTGAAGTCAAGGCCCCTGTGACCTTGACCTTTGACCTGGTGACCTCAAAATCAATAGGGGTCATCTACTAATCATGACTAACCTCCATGCCAAATATGAAGACTGTGGGTCAAAGGAATCTTTAGTTATTCGGCGGACAAGAAAAAACCGACAGACGCCGGACGGCCAGACGGACAATCTGATTCCAGTATACCCCCCTTACAACTTTGTTGTGCGGGGGGTATAATAAAAAAGGAGATTTGTCCTCCTAGATAGTCATGCTGAATCATTTCATCAATTTGCAGGAGTCAGAATAATCTTAGAATAAGGGTTTTACCCAGAGCACAAGTGGTGATTTTATTGTTGAATTCTTAAAAAACAGGAGGAAACTAGAAATATGTGTGAAAGACACAGACACTCCCGCTATATATGTTAGGACATCAAATAATATGAATAAAGATGTAACAACAGGACAGATACTAAACACTTTTTCTGACTTCAAAATCTCTTCATGTGCGACACTTTCTCATCATGCCAAACATTTGTACTAAGTTATTTCAAAATCTCTTGATAGATGATGACAAAGTTATAGGCTGGACAATAATATTCAAAGATATGTTTTGCAAATTCAGAACTTCAAATCACAATCTCCCTATAGAAATAGGCCATCATCTCAGTTATGAAAATACTTTACAATCTATACTCACTGTAATATAAACCTATCAACAAAAATCAGTTAGCATTATCTAATTGATTGACATGCATGACTGGAAATCAAAATGTTTAATAACTGTAGTTGTGCATCTTGTAAGTTTTGTTTTAGTTTTAAGCCTAACTGATCACTAAACTCCACCTAACTACCTGGACTCACTTGGAACTCTCATTCAATACCGGGTCTTTTTACTGTTTTTTTCCTTTGCCTTTTTTGAAAACATTGTAACAACATGTTTTATTTGGTATGTTTTAACGTTTTTATCATGATGCTCTGTTACTGGTGTTTCATCATTAGTGTTTTATCATGATGTTTATCACTGCTTTTTATCACTGCTTTTTATCACTGGTTTTTATCACTGGTGTTTTATCACTAGTGTTTTATTACTGGTGTTTTATCTTGGTGTGTCTGATTTTTCTCTTCTCTCCCAAGTACACATTACTCGTGTACTTGTCTTGCAACTTTCAACTATTGCTGCTTGAACTTTTTTCTTTTCATCTGCAATAAGATCATAAATTTATACATTTTTTCCTTATTCTCATTTAGCATATCCTAATTTAGCATATTTGTTTCCCTTTTAATATTTTTAACAAGAATAATTTTTCATATGTCTTTTTCTTCCAAACATTAAAATTTATATTATGAAACTTTCATGTCTTTTAACATTAAAACAAAGTTCACCTTTGACCACTATGTGCTTAAATATGTTTCAAATTAGCACAAGAAATGATGAATATTTAGTGTAACCATGCTAAAATTATGAAATCAACAGACCCTGATTTAAATGCAGACTTGTCTTGTTTTGTGATCTATTGGTTTTTTTTCTATTTTCTTAGAGTTATTTCTGTATTTTTACCCTACACTCTCTAACCAATTTGGGTTATAAAGCACGAGTTCATGTATTTTACCCAAAATTTCTGACCTTCATTGTACACTGTTGTAGGTTTTGTATGGTAATAAAAATGCTACTTAGTACTATGCTTTATGGTTTATTGGCCTAGGAGATTTCCAAGCTGCCTGATATAATTTAAAGGTTAAAACAGTTTGAATTTGAAACAGTATGATCTGCCAGATGTACGGCGTTCAGTATAATTTACGTCATTACGCACCAGTTCAAATGTAGTTTGCATAAATAAGAATTTATTTACTTTTCCTTACCCTTAGTTATTATTTCTATTGCGTTTTTTGACATTTTAATTGGGTAATTGGGTAATAACGCAAATACGCATGTTATCTGCTGCCCTGTAAGGGTTTCATGATTAAAATGTCTAAACTGAGCAACTATCAGTATATATTCTACACTAGTGGCACTGGTATGTCAGTAATGTCTCAAGTATTAAGTAAATCAAATACCTTCAGTTTTACATTCCATCAAAAGTTGAGGTAGACGAGATCTATGATACCTGATCAAAAACTTCAGACACGATCTTATTGTTCCTGAAATATATCAAATATTGAATATATCAAATTATGAAATGTAACCAGAGATGGTTAAGAATAAGGTTCAAGATATAAAGATATAATTTAGACTAAATTAATGAGATGCGCCTTGACAAAACCAACATAGTGCGTTTGCGACCAGCATGGATCTATACCAGCCTGCTCATCCGCAGTCTGATCAGGATCCATGCTGTTCGCTTACAAACCCTGTAACAAGTAGAGAAACTGATAGCTAACAGCACTGATTCTGATCAGACTGCACAGATGCGCAGGCTAGTCTGGATCCATGCTGGTCGCAAACGCATTATGTTGGTTTGAGCATGGCACGACTATTATATTTTATAAGTATACAATGTATCCCAATCAACCAAACAAAGGCACCATGTACATGATTACTGAGGTGAAAAATTGGAAGTTCAGACATTCTGGATATATAATTAGAAAACATTAGTATAAACATTATTTTTTGAGATAAAAACATTATAAAGCCTTTTAATGTAACAAATTCACTTGCTTTGCCAGAAATTGATAGACAAAAAAATAATGTTCCGACATAGTAAACTCATCAATTAAGGAGGAAAAATTTACATTACTCAGACAAGATCTTTTTAAAATGGGTTTTACGATGCGTTAACACAGTATAGGTCATATTGCGAGTTTTCAGCTTTACTGGTCATGCAAAGGTGCACCATTTTACATTATTAAAGGCACAAATGGGACTTCAGAAGAAACGCCAACATTCTGTAAGCTAGCTGGATAGCATACATGTAGAATCTGACAACGCTTGAACAGCTCCAACCTACAGTGGTGAGAGGCAAGTGGTTTAAAGTCAAGGACCTTAACCACTTGGCCACAGACGCCCCCCACAGACATGATAAAGCATGTTCAAAATGCAAATATAACATGTATAAAAAAAACTGCACCCAATGTATACACATACATATATATACATGTATAATTGTTATGAAAAGCAACAAAAAATGAAAAGTTATATAGACGATATTTGTTTAGTTCAGTGTAAGATCGGAATATATTTCACCGAGTGAGCACCAAAAGGTATATTTCACGAGTGGCGCTGCCACGAGTGAAATATGAACTTTTGGTGTTCACAAGGTGAAATATATTTCAATCTTACACTAAACTAAACAAATTTTCTTTTTATTATATGCAAAGAAACGTTTTAAAAAGACATTTAACCTAATACTGAATGAAAAGCGCGCCAAATAATAATATAATGTGACGTCATTTACGACGTCACGTCATTAAGTTGGTTCCCAGTACTGTGCACGCTGGTATTTCACTGAAATAACGTAAGGGGCTTAAATTCAAAACAGTCAAATTATCAAAGTGGTAATTTCACTGTTTCAAACAGTGAGATTACCATTTTTATATCACTGATATATTTCTATAAACCACCGAAAAGCATGTAATAAATACTCTTTTTTTCAAAAGAGTACTGATAACATCATGTCATTTTTACCTCCAACATGTATGGTCTGTAGGAAAGCATCTTCTGTATTTATCTTCTTAACATATGTGATAGCAGACTGTACAATCTTTAACAAATCTCTCTGGCATCTGATCAGTACCACACCAGTGTTCCCATCAATGTATCGCACTGAAATTTTGTAGGCAAAAGTTTTGAAAACAAGTTTGGTCTTCTTACTTAATTAAAGCTGCATGACTTCAGATGAGCCAAAATACTTCATGAAAATCAAACTTGAGAAAAATGCACTAAGACTTTTAAAAAAAAGACAAAAAAAAAGACAAGAGGGCCATGATGGCCCTGAGTCGCTCACCAGAAACAACTGCTTTTCAGTGTTGGAATGTCAATATATTCTAATATTAAATTTGAGCATAGAATATGTTTAAACAATAATTTGAAGAAATGCCATGACCTGGGATATTTAAGCTTTAGCTTTAACAGGGATAATCAAAATAATATGAGCAAACTTGATAAAACACTACCTAAGAATGCTACAAAGTTTGGTGATCATCTTTCAATTATTTCAGTAGGAAATGATGTTCGAAGGTTTTTTTCTATTTTAAGCTTTAGTGGCCCCTAAAAGAGGCTAATCAAATAAATATAAGCAAACTTGATAAAAGAGTACCCAAGAATGCTACAGACAAAGTTTGGTGATCATCCATCCATTAGTTCTGTAGAACAAGATGTTTAAAGGTTTTTATATTTTTAGCTTTAGCGGCCCCTAAAAGGGGTCAATCAAATTAATATGAGCAAACTTGATTAAAGACTACCCAACAATGCTTCAGACAAAGTTAAATGATCATCCATCCATTAGGTTTGTAGAAACAGACATTTAAAGGTATTTCTATTTTTAGCTTAAGCGGCCCCTAAAAGGGCCAATCAAAATAATAAGAGCAAACTTCATAAAAGACTACCCAACAATGCTTCAGACAAAGTTTGGTGATCATCCATCCATTAGTTCTCCAGAAATAGACATTTAAAGGTATTTCTTTTTTTAGCTTAAGCAGTCCCTAAAAAGGGCTTATCAAATTCATATGAGCAAACTTGATAAAAGACTACCCAAGAATACTGCAGACAAAGTTTGGTGATCATCCATCAATTAGTTCTCTAGAAATAGACATTTACTGGTATTTCTATTCTTAGCTAAAGAGACCCCTAAAAGGGGCTAAGCAAATTAATATGAGCAAACTTGATAAAAGACTACCCAAGAATGCTACAGACAAAGTTTGGTGATCGTCCACCAATTAGATCTTTAGAAATAGACATTTAAAGGTATTTCTATTTCTAGCTTTTGCGGCCCCTAAAAGGGGCCAATCAAATTAATATGAGCAAACTTGATAAAACACTACCAGAGCATGCTACCGACTAAGTTTGGTAATCATCCATCAATTACATGTAGTTCTGTAGAAGAAGATGTTTAAAGGTTTTTCTATTTTTAGCCCTAGAGACCCCTAAAAGGGGCCAATCAAAATAATATTAGCAAACTTGATAAAAGACTACCCAACAATGCTACAGACAAAGTTTGGTGATCATCCATCAATTAGTTCTGTAGAAATAGACATTTAACAGTATTTCTATTTTTAGCTTAAGCGGCCCCCTAAAAGGGGCCAATCATATTAATATGAGCAAACTTGATAAAACACTACCTGAGCATGCTACCGACTAAGTTTGGTGATCATCCATCAATTAGTTCTGTAGAAGAAGATGTTTAAAGATTTTTCTATTTTTAGTCCTAGAGACCCCTAAAAGGGGCCAATCAAAATAATATTAGCAAACTTGATAAAAAACTACCTAAGTATGCTACAGACAAAGTTTGGTGATCGTCCATGAATCAGTTCTCTAGAAATAGACTTAAAGGTATTTTTATTTTTAGCTTTTGCGGCCCCTAAAAGGGGCCAATCAAATTAATATGAGCAAACTTGATAAAACACTATCCAAGAATGCTACAGACAAAGTTTGGTGATCATCCATCGATTAGTTCTGTAGAAGAAGATGTTTAAAGGTTTTTCTATTTTTAGCCCTAGAGACCCCTAAAAGGGGCCAATCAAATTAATATGAGCAAACTTGATAAAAGACTACCTAAGAATGCTACAGACAAAGTTTGGTGATCATCCATCCATTAGTTCTGTAGAAGAAGATGTTTAAAGGTTTTTCTATTTTTAGCCCTAGAGACCCCTAAAAGGGGCCAATCAAATTAATATGAGCAAACTTGATAAAACACTACCCAAGAATGCTACAGACAAAGTTTGGTGATCATCCATCCATTAGTTCTGTAGAAGAAGATGTTTAAAGGTTTTTCTATTTTTAGCCCTAGAGACCCCTAAAAGGGGCCAATCAAATTAATATGAGCAAACTTGATAAAAGACTACCCAAGAATGCTACAGACAAAGTTTGGTGATCATCAATCAATTAGTTCTCTAGAAATAGACATTTAAAGGTATTTCTATTTTTAGCTTTTGCAGGCCCCTAAAAGGGGCCAATCAAATTAATATGTCAGAGCAAACTTGATAAAACACTACCCAAGAATGCTACACACAAAGTTTGGTGATCATCCATCCATTAGTTCTGTAGAAGAAGATGTTTAAAGGTTTTTCTATTTTTATCCCTAGAGACCCCTAAAAGGGGCCAATCAAAATAATATGAGCAAACTTGATAAAAGACTACCCAAGAATGCTACAGACAAAGTTTGGTGATCATCCATCCATTAGTTCTGTAGAAGAAGATGTTTAAAGGTTTTTCTATTTTTAGCTCTGCTGACCCCTAAAAGGGGCCAATTGGAATGACATGAGCAAATTCAAGTGTGACTGTCACAAGGATGCTACAGGCTAAATTTGACGCAAATCTGCCAAGCAGTTCCAGAGAAGAAGACGATTGCTGATGCATGACGCCGGACGCCGGAGCATCCCCCTTTGATACTAATAGCTCACTTGAGCCTTCAGCTCTGGTGAGCTAAAAAAAGATTAAAGTTTCCAGTAATATTTAAAAAACATTTCAAAGAAATTAGTATAACTCTGGAGGCATGCTGTTTTCACAACAAAATTGACCTTGAATAAATGTATTGAAACTGTCAAAGTGCATTTTGAATGATGTGAAAGTTCACTGACTCAGACTGCTTTGCTAACACTTAATGTATGTACCCTGCAAGGATTTCCAAAGACTTGGGCAAAATGCATTGCAATTTATTTTTCTAGCAAGAAACGCATGTTTTCAACACTCAACTTTTACAGAAAATTCGACATCAAGTTCCCTGGTGCATATTGTCTATGCTAACATTTTTGGGCTATTATGGCTATTTGATATTTTTTGACACTGATGTCAGACAAAGCTTTTGTGGAAGTTAAGTCTCAGAAATGTAGTAGGAGTTGCAGGAGAACAAAAGTGTATTTCTCTGGGTTTTTTTAATCACAAAACACTGACAACATGCACATTTGATGTAAAAGTTAAGTCTTAATCACTTGTAAAATTTACTAGAAGTTAATTGAGAACAGAAACTTGTGTATTTCACTGTTTTTCAAGAGAAACAAAGGGCCAAAATTTTGCAAAAATGTTTGAATCATAAAACACTGAAAATATGCACCAGTGCACTTGACGACAAAGCTTCTGTGGAAGTTTAGTCAAAATTGCTTGAGAAATATAATAAGTTGAAAATAGAGAAGTGTATTTGATATAGAAACAGGTCCAGAAATATGGTGAAATTACTGAAAAGACATGTGCCCGATGAACAAGATCAGTTGATTAATTAAACGCAATGAACCTCTTGTTCAGTTAATATTAATCAAATAGTATTAGTAAATATTAAATATAGTACAGCTGCCATGCAACAGACATACCTCCAAAACTTGGTACATTCCTCAATGCAGCTAAAGCATAGTCACCATGTAATGCACCGATTTCATTTTTAACTTTAGTATAAATATCGTTTTCATTGATTTTACATGTCTTTCTATTGCCAGTAAAAATCACCTTGCAGAGAATGTATCTGAAATATTGAAGCAAAAATATAGTTGGTTAGCCTCATGTTCATGAAAATAAAATAATATGATAACTATGTGAAAATTGATTTGATCTTATGCTATTTAACAGATTCCTATAAATTTTACATATTTTACGGACATATGCATTTTAACTGATCATCATATAATACTTTAAAACAGGGTATGTTTGCAAACATTAAATTAATGTAGTACAAATTGACTTTTTTCTAAACAACAAGAACAAGATTGCTTTATCAATTCTGTTCACTTATTTAAACAAAGAAAATATTTATAAAGTTATTCTACAAAAGTTCTATATACCCCCTTTATTAAATTTAAGGCATCATTATAATAATGAATATTGTAACAGCTACATGTGCTTTACACTTTAAACAATTACTGTTAACCCTTTACCTCATATATACGCGAAACAACCCACTTTCGACCCCCCCCCCCCCCTTTCTTTAGGCCTGAAATAGTGAAAAAATGTCCTATTTGGGCCGGAAACACATGTTTTCGTTTGAGAGATGTTGCTAAAAAAAGTGAGCACTTTTTCGGCGCCGCCCCCCATCCAAAAGATACATCAGGGGTTGGCAGAAGGGGGTTTGAAGGGGGGCGGAGTCCCCCTCATTGCCAAGAAAATTTTGGACTTGTGAGAGGCTTAAAATGACCCCAAGGCGATCATAAGGTAACGTGTAACCAACGCTGAAAAGCCTTTGACTCTATCACAATCCCTTGTGAAGTTGCAGCACTTTGAAATAAATTTTGATGGAAAAAATCGAGGCAAAATAGTGATTTTTGGCAATTTTGAGATGTCCCCTAGTTGCCATGGTAACAGGAAATTTAAGACTGAGCATGTCGTTACAAAGGCAATGGTCCAGTCAACATTTGTGCCAAGTTTGATTAGTATTGAAGCATTTTTCATAGTTTCATAGCAGTTTGAACTTGTAAGAGGAGGCTTTTCAGTGAAAATGGCCATTTTTCACAATACGTTCATGGGGGACTGGTTAAATGGTAGTACACAATAATTATATTGAACAAGATATGTTTGTAAAACATGTATGCCCCCTATCAGCAGCCAATTAGTCATGTGATAAGGTTATTATGCATGACTTCTGACCCAGTGATCAAACAATTAATAAGGGTTATCAAGTATCTACTGGTCATGACCTTAACCTTTGACCCCTTGACCCAAAACTCAATAGGGGTCATCTGCTGGTCACAACCAATCATCATACAAAGTTTGAAGTTCCTAGGCCTAAGCGTTTTTAGTTAATTGATCGGAAACCGTTTTTACCTACAAGGTCAATGTGACCTTGACCTTTGACCCCTTGACCCCGAAATCAATAGGTCATCTGCTGGTCATGACCAATCACCATACCAAATTTGAAGTTCCTAGGCCTAAGGGTTCTTAAGTTATTGATTGGAAAGCATTTTTACCTACAAGGTCAATGTGACCTTGCCCTTTGACCCCTTAACCCAATATCAATAGGGGTCATCTGCTGGTCATGACCAATCACCATACCAAGTTTGAAGTTCCTAGGCCTAAGGGTTCTTTAGTTATTGATCGGAAACTGTTTTTACCTAAGAGGTCAATGTGACCTAGACCTTTGACCCCAAAATCAATAGGGGTCATCTACTGATCATGACCAATCACCATGCCAAGTTTGAAGTCCCTAGGCCTAAGGGTTCTTTCGTTATTGATCGGAAACCGTTTTTACCTACAAGGTCAATGTGACCTTGACCTTTGACCCCTTAACCCCAAAATCAATAGGGGTCATCTGCTGGTCATAACCAATCACCATACCAAGTTTGAAGTTCCTAGGCCTAAGGGTTCTTTTGTTATTGATCAGAAACCGTTTTTACCCAAGAGGTCAATGTGACCTTGACCTTTGACCCCAAAATCAATAGGGGTCATCTACTGATCATGACCAATCACCATACCAAGTTTGAAGTTCCTAGGCCTTAAAGTTCTTTAGTTATTGATCAGAAACCGTTTTTGCTTACAAGGTCAATGTGACCTTGACCTTTGACCCCTTGACCCCAAAATCAATAGGGGTCATCTACTGATCATGACCAATCACCATACCAAGTTTGAAGTTTCTAGGCCTTAAGGTTCTTTAGTTATTGATCGGAAACCGTTTTTGCTTACCTTTGACCCCTTGACCCCAAAATCAATAGGGGTCATCTACTGGTCATGACCAATCACAATACCAAGTTTGAAGTTCCTAGGCCTAAGGGTTCTTTAGTTATCACTCGGAAACCATTTGGTCTACGGACCGACAAGTGCAAAGCAATATACCCCCTTTTCTTCGAAATGGGGGCATAATAATTAATACTATTATACCACTTAAAGGATAAACATCAGGCATGATAATTTAATTATAATTTATCAAGAGACATGAGTTTCTACATTTATTTAATAGCAAACAGAACAGGTATATTGTTTTTAGAAATATCTCTTTCATATAGTTTTATAATTTGTGCGGCAACTTGCCATGCATTTATAATAGACAAAATTAAGAAACTTTTCAGTTGATATATAAAGCATATTGTCGAATTTCAAGTTTAGGAATTTTCTAGTAATCAGGCTTTCAAGTGGCCAATAACAAAAAAGTAGGGATAAAAGTAGGATTTTTTTTGTAAACAAGAACCGGTTGAACCGGGTGATGCTCCCCGAGAAGGTTCTGGACACAGGAAAGTATAAAAAAAATGAACAAAGGGCAAAAACTCCAAAATTAGGCAAAGCGGAGTTATGTTTTTTTGCACTGCACTTCTATTCAATGAGATCTATCTATCTATAAAGTTTCCTGATGATATCAGAGTTATGTCCCGGGTAAAAGTCAAAGTGTAAAAATGAACAAAGGGCAATAACTCCAAAATTAGACCAGGCTTTGTTTAGGTTCTTTAAGCATTGCAGTTCTATCCAATTATATCTAGCTACCTACAAAGTTTCATGTTGATATCTCTAATAGTTTTAAAGTAATGTCCAGGACAAAAGTCAAAAAGTAAAAATAAACAAAGGGCAATTTCTTCAAAATAAGGCAAGGCAGAGTAATGATTCTTAAGCACTGCACTTCCACCCAATGAGACCTATCTACCTACAAAGTTTCATGTTGATACCTCTTATACTTTTAGAGTTATGTCCCGGACAAATTTCAAAGTGTAAAATAAACAAAGGGGGATAATTCAAAAATTAGGCAAGGCAGAGTTACGGTTCTTGTGCACTGCACACCTACTCAATGAGATCTATCTACCTACAAAGTTTCATGTTGATACCTCTTATACTTTTAGAGTTATGTCCCGGACAAATTTCAAAGTGTAAAATAAACAAAGGGGGATAATTCAAAAATTAGGCAAGGCAGAGTTACGGTTCTTGTGCACTGCACACCTACTCAATGAGGTCTATCTACCTACAAAGTTTCATGTTGATACCTCTTGTTGTTTCAAAGTTATGTCCCGGACAAGAAAAGGGGACGGACGGACGGATGTTCTCACAGGACAGTAATTATGTGGCTACTCTATTGTTCTCTCTATTGTTCTTTTTAGCTACACAAAAGAAAATAGCCACATAAAAGCATTACGGAATGAATGACATCAAAGAGAAAGAACAGTTACCTATTGTTCCTCTAGCCACATAATTACTGTCCTGTGAGTGCGGACGGACGGACGGAAAGACGGACGGACAAGGCGGCAACTATATGCTCCCCCGAAATTTTTTCGGGGAGCATAAAAAAAGTAGGGAAAAGTAGGGATTTTCAGAGCCTAAAAGTAGGGAAAGTAGGACTCTCTACTCACCTTTTTTCCAAAGTTGATTGCAAAAACAAATACAGACCCTTATCAACTAATATCCATGGCATTTTCTTCATTTAGGAAACCAGTCACCAGTGTCTCAATAGGGATTCCACAACAGGATGAATCTGGACATGAACCTGGAATTGGTATTATTTTTATTAGATCCAATTCCAAATAATAACAGAAAACTATAAACAATGAATATGTCAGAACACAGACTATTACTATTTAGAAACATTAAACATTAAGTAAGCATGTTTTTGTACACAGACTAGAAACAGGAAATGTGTTAAAACCTAGTTTAAGATAGCATGGTTGTTACAAAACACAAAAAAGAAAAATGTTATGTGCAAAAACACGGTTTTAGCTAGCATAATATGTGAAACACAGACTGGTGTTAAAACATGATTTTTTTAACTAGCATTATAACACACTGAATGAAAAGGAGTAAATGTAAAAAAAGCAAAGGTTTACTAGCATCCTAGTTATGCATGGAGTTTACATGGGCATGCAAAATAGATACTTGTAACAATCAAAAGTAAATTTTAAGATATATACACAAGCAGTTAGTATGCAAAGTTAGTACATGCAAAACTGACAAATCAAAGCAAGGGTTCACACTTAATAATTTATTAATTGCAGAACTATAGATATTAGTATAGTAAAGCCTGCTACCCAAAGAAATATATGCACACAACTACAGAGCAAAGCATATACATTAACATGCATTGTTAAATTTTGTGAGTTCATGAGGCATTGTGAAGTTAATTTTATAAATTAATGGACCTGAAATAATAAATTGTTAGTAAAATGGAATTTAAAAAGAAACTTAATGACACTTGCGAGAAATGTAAGTAGGTCTCAGATAATTCCAAGGTAGAGATAAACACACAGTTAGTTATTCTTAAATTATCTGTTATAAGATCAAGATTCCTAATCTCCCACCATATTAAAGCTATCAAATTCTATCTAATTAAAGCATACATATTTTTCAGAAACACTCACTACATTTTTCCAGTATCTTTCATTCAATGAAAATTCAGGACAAAATGATCACAGTGAGCAAGTTCAATACTTGCCAATATGCCAAACATTGCCTAAAATCTACAAGCATGTTGGCAAGTATTGTCCTCTGACAGTATAAGCATCATTGGGAAACAATTGGGAAGCTAGTCTGTGTACAAAACATGTACAAAAACATATTATAATTTTGAAATGAAACAATTGAGAAGCTAGTCTGTGTACAAAAACATATTATAGTTTTTAAATGAAACAATTGAGAAGCTAGTCTGTGTACAAAAACATATTATAATTTTGAAATGAAACAATTGAGAAGCTAGTCTGTGTACAAAAACATATTATAGTTTTTAAATGAAACAATTGAGAAGCTAGTCTGTGTACAAAAACATATTATAATTTTGAAATGAAACAATTGAGAAGCTAGTCTGTGTACAAAAACACATTATAATTTTGAAATGAAACATAAAAAATAATTGAACACTAAGTAATATTTCTATAGAAGCAAACTCACCTAAAGTCGCTGATTCTGCCATGTCAGCTCCAACCATCCTCATCATGGAACCCCTCTTGCACCACTGATGACCTACTTCCATCAACTTTTTCCTACAATTAAACTAGCATCTGATTCTTATTTAATTTGAGATAAAGATTATCTCAAAATCAATCTACTACTTATACTGGATTTTTTATCAATTATCCTCGAGCTTTTTTCTTAAAAAAGTAGGGATAGTAGGGCATTTCAAGAAAAAAGTAGGGAAAAGTAGGGGTCAAACAAAAAAGTAGGGAAAAGTAGGAAAAATAGGAAAAGTAGGGCCTGCTTGAAAGCCTGAATTAATATTAACCCACCACCTTAGTACCCACTGCAGTTGCCATACTCTCTACCCTACAGCCGGTTCAGTGCAGCTAGCATAGAACACTCTAGGTGTCCAGCCCCCCATTTTTATAATTTTTCAATATTCTAATCTTCTTTTATCCTCTTTTAAATAACACTTTTTAACTTTCTAGCGATTTAAACTCGCAAATACATGTAAGTCTACGTCCCCGCAAGATTTTATTAAGAGATGGTCATGAGAAAACCTCAGACCAATGAAAATACTCCATACCAAAATAAAGGGGAAACAATCTGGGGCACCAGTTACTTTCATTATTTGACATATTGGAAAAAGCTTTGTTATAGTAAACTTTCATATTTGATGATTTGATTGAACAATTATTACAAAAATAATTATTTAATTCTATCATATTTAAATGCACAAAGTCAATAAAAATATTTAAAAACTATTCATTCAGTCTGGTCATTTTAAAAAACCCTGTGGTCACATCTCTCTTGATGTACACTTTGCGTTTGACTTTAAAGATTACATATCTACTTATTACTTGTAATTATTTTGATAGCAGCTGTACTTTCTTTAAGAGTATTCAATTCCTGACCATTTGGTACCAAAGATTTAGAAATTTGGTGAAAAAATGGTTGAATTAAGAATGAGTACAATGTAAAGAGTGCTGAAAAATGAGCAGCGAGTTGCATATATACCTTTTCTAAAATATATAGTACAGTATTCAGTTGGTTTTTTTTTTAAGCTGGAAATGAAGGAAATTGAACTAAAAGCATATTTCAAATATCTAAACAAATTCCAAATTAAAAATACTGCAGTTAACATTGTATGGGACAGATAGGAGGGTGGTAGAGTGGGTAAGGGGAGGGGAGTGACCAATTATCACAGCACCGAACAGTTACACCTGTGATATTATTAAACACTCAGCTAAAGAGACTTCAGTGAACAGGTTTTATAGTACTGCTAGACCTGTTCGCTGAAGCCAATCCTGTATCGAAAGTCAACCAGAACCGTGACATATTTATGTCATGCTGTAATTCAATAAATTTGCTTGATCTGGACAAAAGCTATTTTAACACAGGTAGTTAGATATATTTGGGACACTTCAGTCTATATTTTTGATCTGGACAAAAGCTATTTTAACACAGGTAGTTAGATATATTTGGGACACTTCAGTCTATATTTTTGAACACAGAACATTAAAATGATGAAATAATGCTTCAAAGTTTATCAAGTGGGTTCACATTTCATAAAATTCGCCGCCATTGCTGCGACTAGCGAGAATTTAGGTTCGGATACCCTTTGCATGACATTTGGTGACACGTGACCAAAATGCTATTTTTAATTGAAAACATGGCTTTTGCAATTATGAATACGGTGTTTGTATTTATTCAATAACAGACATTGTACGAAAAACATGTTTGGATTTATATTGTTTTGAGTGATGATTCATAAATTATGTGTTTTGTTTTTATTTAAAATCGTACACTTACTAAAAATAGTGTATGCTCCGTTACTAAAAATAGATGCTAGAATTCCCAAAACTTGAAAGTCCCGCGAGATTTCATTTGAAAGCAGGCTCCATATTGGTAAACATTCTCTACATATTTCCCTGTTACACGATGTCATTGAAGTTTCATTTAAAAACAAAAACATGAATTGATTCAAAATTGATTTGTTTATCAAAAGGTATTTTTATTTGACCCAAATTTGATTAATAAAGGTGATTTTAAATAGGTTTTTTAAGGATTGCTCACGAACTGCCAAAATTCTGGTAGCCTTTGCAAATAGGGTTGACCCATAACTTTACTGTCGCACAACGGTCAAAATAAAAGCGACATATAAAGTTATGGAAGCCAAAACTATTAAACACTTTGAATGACATACCTTACATAATCATGATCTAACAACAGAATTGAGATAGAAACCATTTACGTGAAGAAATAAATGATGCTGTACTTCAGTAAATGTCAGTTTGTTTATCTGTTTCATCAGAAAAAGTGGGGCGAATCGTGATTGGGGCGAATGTTGTAACACTATCACCAGTTTTAAAACTGCAATGCTTCGGTGAAAAAAAAACAACAACAATTAACCAAGATTTTTTAAACAACATATCACAGTTAATCATTTATATAAAAATTTTGTTGTTACCTGCACTTATACCGCACCATTTCTAACTTATTTGATGCACGTTTTCAAGAAAACATCCAAACTGAAAGTAGGGCCACTTACATCAAAGGAGGTACAACTCAACTTAACTTTTTACTTGAACGAAGATAAAGATCAAATATCATTGACAACTTAAAATGTATGTTACAATGATGATTTCCATCACAAATATAAACTTGTATTTTATTTTTAAAGAAAATTACTGAACTGCTGTTACACATATTTTCTTTGATATAAACAATATTATAAAGTTCAAGGTCACTAACCACTACCAAAGCAAAATAGTGGAAATGGCACTGGCCCAACAGGTATAAAAGATCATGAAACATTTTTATCCATATTTACCCCCTTTTATCCCTTGTAAACCTATGTCATGCATTTTCCCTAAAAAATACCCCTAAACTTTAGAACCCCTTCCCAAGGTTTAGACGGTTCACCCCCTGACATTTCACCCCAAAGTCATTTTTTGGAGGCACTTCACACCAAGCTTTTATGAAATCTGACTGACCCAAATTACAGTCCAGTTCGGCCTGATGTCAAGATCACATTTTCTTTCTTTATTTCATATTTTTAAATGTTGCATCTTCTATTGCCTTTAGCTGCAAGTGACTCGATGGGCATTAGGGATGTACATTATAATACATAATGTACATTAGGGATTAGGGATGTACATTATAATACATAATGTACATTAGGGATTAGGGCTGTCATTGATAGAAATTTTTGTATCGATATAAAGAAGGGTAAATATCGATGATACATCGATATATGGGAACAAATTTGGATATGCAAACACTGGATTAAATTATTCAAAATGTCTATTTTTTTTTGTTACACATTGTATGCATGGTTTTAAAAAAAATATACAGTAAAACCAGATGAAACCCTCTTGTTATTTATAATCCTGAAAAAATTTTACAACTAAGAATTATTTATAACACAAGGGAACTGAACTCACCACAGACACAGACCCATATTTTCTGACGTTTCTGTCAATATGTGACCTTATATTTGTGGTATTGCCTCTGTATGGCATAATTAGATGGCAAACTTTACAAAGTAATTTCAACTCCAAATTTTTCCCATAAATCGCTCTTTTTTTAACCTTTTCAAACAAACTCGGCAATTTCTGACGTACATTAGTGATGATGTAGCTGCCATGTTGCTGTGAAAAGTTCAAAGCCTGCTGATTATTAATTATCATTGTCGTCTACAGATTTAGGACACTAAATTTATCGCACCATACATGCCATTTATTGCCAGAATTTTCAATTTCTAAATTTGGTAATTTTTGACCGGATGTCATTAGATTTGACGCATTAGCTAACAATGTAAACATTAATGGCTGCTGTTTTGCTTTAGGTTGGAGATTAAAATTTCAATTGCAAATGACAAACTTGGAATTTAATTTGAAATGTTCTTATATTTTATTCATTGCTATTTGACACTTAATTCTGTTGGAATGATTAAATCGATTTTCAAAATTTTGCATCGATATCGACCCTTGAGAATCGGTGATACATCAATATCGCGATTTCTGATGACGGCCCTAGTAGGGATCACTTCTACATTGTCTGTCACAAAACTTATCTGGAATACTCCTCAAAAACTACTGGTGCAATTCATCCAAACTACCAGAATATTCAGTACAATGTCAGGTTATGCATATCATCAGCATTTTTTGGTTCAATGATTTTTGTCATAGTTATGGGCATTTTTAAAGTTTGTCCGGACTAGTCCTCTTATACCACTAATGCAATTTCTATAAAACTTTACAGGATTGATTCATCATTGGTAGCTTACCGGTAAATACTTACGCACATTCCACAGGTTTTCCACTTGAATGATTTTTGGCTGAGTTATGGTCCTTGAATAAACAGTTTTTGTTTTTTGTGTTGCCAGCCATACAGAAGCTTGTCAGGACTTTAGTACTCCTAAGAAACTGCTGGTGCAATTTCATCCATACTTTACAGGAATGATCAGTACTATGTCTAGTTGTTCATATTATTGGTATTTTAAGGTTCAATGGTTTTGTCAGAGCTATGGCCCTTGAATGAATTTAAAAAAAAAAATTTAGGACCTCTGCTCTTATAATACAAATGAAATTTTACAGAATTGATAGGTGCCCAAGTACCTGCATAAGTTATATTAAATGGGGTTTTAAGGTTGAATAATTTGAGTTATAGCCCTTGAATAAAAAATGTGTTTTTGCCATGTTAATGAATTTTTGTGTTTCCTGCTACACAGTAGCTGAAAAAATGTGAATGGCTATCATGAGGCAACACATGAGCTCTTGTTCTTATGGCAGATGTCTTTTGTATCTGGTAGGAACATAAATTGAGAAATCCTCTGCCTTTGGGAAGGATTTAGGGATCAGTTTTAGTCAAGGTCACCAGTATTAAAACTAGATTTATACACTTTTGCCCAATAAGCCTTTATTTATTAATAGATATGATATCTTTCACATTTGGTAAAAAGATAACTTCATGGTCTCCTTCCTTTTGGATTGAATTAGGTGTCAGTTTGAGGTCAAGGTCAGGGGTGCCAAAATAGATTTGTAAAAACATTTACTTAATCTTTTTGCTTCATCTAACAACCTTTATCTATTGATGATACTTTTAATATTCAGAAGGAGCATACCTTGGAAGAATCCAGTGTTGGGAGTCACAAATTTCAAGGTCACATGTGCTAACAATAGGTTTTTTTACACATTTTCTAATACAGTCTTTGAATTTTTTTTACCAATTTCTCATATTTAAAAGAAATTATACCATAGCTGGTCCTTAAAGTTTGAGTGGGAATTTGGTTGTCTCTGGGTTCAAGGTCAAGGTCATGCATTTATATATATTTGATATATTTTTATTTGTACAGGTTGATATTTTTTCAACTTCATCAATTACCCGGTAGTACTGTATAGCAAAACATCATGACTGTACAATTTTTTGTCGCATAACCAGTAAGCCTTTTTTTGAAAATTGTTAACAAGTTATCTGCACCAGGGGCATTTTTTGTTTACCAAACATGTTTTTTGTTTTTTGTTTCTTGGTTTTTTTTTGTTCTTGTTTTTTTTTTTTTTGTCAACTTAATTTAGTTCTGCTAAAACATTATATATACTGTGCTCCTCTTAGTTCACGTACTTAACACTTTAAAACAGTAAAGAACACAAAACAATAAACTTACACTACAAAAACTGTCATAAACTGTATCATTTAGTCATTTTTCTGCTATATGACACAAGGAACAACAATATATTCAATCAAAATTAGTTTTTAATCAGATGTAAACAGTGTGTCGGCCATTTTGAAAACAGTATGTCATCATTTACCTCGCGGTAATGGTGTTTTATTTCAGTTTTTCATGTTTCAGTTAAAATTTCTTTAAGTTTATTTTGCATAATTTAATATTAAAAGTATTTTTACATTGCAACTCAAAATTTATTTTTTCAACAAACAAGAACATTTAAAAAATGATGATTGTTTCAGACGTATGCACAATTTTAATGGACTATTGTTGTTTTTTGCAGAAGTTTGTAAAATGTTGTTCAGTTTTACGTAAAATTCTATAGATTTAAATTATTTTGCACAAAACCTTTGTTGTTAAGGTGTTTGAATAAAATATGTCAATTCTGACCAATAATAACACTGGTCACATGAAAATATGCCATTACCGTGAGATAAATGATGACGCGGAATTAGTGATGTTGAGTATACTTGTATGATTTAGACATTAGCCATGTCTTACTAAATGTGAAAGATAAGTATTGTGACCTGTTTGCAAAAGCACATTTGCTTCAGTTTTTAATTTACAAAATGTGAAGAAGGGTTGCATCTATCCAAGTGTCTGTGATTTAGTGTACTACATGTACATGTATTTATCAATGAAGCCAATTGAGAATTAGTGCAACAGTTAATGAACCAATCACAGCTTTATACAATAGTGCTGTGGTTTATACATACATGCATGTAGAATTCAAAACTGCTAGATTCTTGATGATTCACAGCTTTATGCAATTGTGCTGTGTTTTAAGGAATATAGCCAGATCTTTGATGATTCACAGCTTTATGCAATTGTCCTGTGTTTTAAGGAATATAGCCAGATCTTTGATGATTCACGGCTTTATGCAATTGTCCTGTGTTTTAAGGAATATAGCCAGATCTTTGATGATTCACAGCTTTATGCAATTGTCCTGTGTTTTAAGGAATATAGCCAGATCTTTGATGATTCACAGCTTTATGCAATTGTCCTGTGTTTTAAAGAATATAGCCCAGATCTTTGATGATTCACGGCTTTATGGCAATTGTCCTGTGTTTTAATGAAATATAGCCAGATTTTGATGATTCACGGATTTAGGATATGATTTTATGATTATTGTTCCTGTGTTTTAAGGAATATAGCCAGATCTTTGATGATTCACGGCTTTATGCAAATTGTCCTGTGTTTTTTAAGGAATATAGGTCACAGCTTTATGCAATTGTCCTGTGTTTAAGGAGCAATATAGCCAGATCTTTGATGATTCACGGCTTTATGCAATGTTCCTGTGTTAAGGGAATATAGCCAGATCTTTGATGATGTCACGGCTTTATGCAATTGTAACTGTGTTTTAAGGATATAGCCAGATCTTTGATGATTCACGGCTTTTATGCAATTGTCCTGTGTTTTAAGGAATATAGCCAGATCTTTGATGATTCAAGCTTTATGCAATTGTCCTGTGTTTTAAGGATATACCAGATCTTTGATGATGATTCCACGCTTTATGGCAATTGTCCTGTGTTTTTAGGAATATAGCCAGATCTTTGATGATTCACAGCTTTATGCAATTGTCCTGTGTTTTAAGGAATATAGCCAGATCTTTGATGATTCACGGCTTATGCAAATTGTCCTGTGTTTTAAGAATATACCAGATCTTTGATGAATTCACAGCTTTATGCAATTGTCCCTGTGTTTAAGGAATATTAGCCAGATCTTTGATGTTGCATGGCTTTTATGCAATTGTCCTGTGTTTTAAGGAATATGCCAGATCTTTGATGATTCACGGCTTTATGCAATTTCTGTGTTTTAAGGAATATGGCAGATCTTTGATGATTCAACGCTTTATGCAATTGTCCTGTGTTTTA